AATAAAAAAAAAGTTATCTCGTATCAAATTAAGTCGTGGTTCAGTCCTGCTTTATTTTGGTACAAGTGGTTTCCCCAAATTTGAAAGTGCTGCACAAACAATTAATATTTTATCTATTGTGCAAAGACTGTTATCATTTCTCCGTTTGACCATACTGACTGGCAGGGTGTTCCGCAGAATTCTGAATGACTTCTGGATTGAATGAATTCTGGATTCTCACTCATGACATTTTTCTAGAGTGTGTCACCTCTAATCCTGTCAATTGTTTTCTTCCCTTTGTAGATGCTGGTACATGAAGACGGACACATTTGTTGGCAAAATATTCAGGAAAATTGAAGCCTCTATCAGCCATTACATGGTCTCCTTGTTCAAGAAGGCCAATCAACCCAGAATTTTTTGTTATAATTTTGTCGCTAGCACGACCACCCCAGACTTTTGATAAAAAATTACTAAATATATATTTTCATTTTTTATTTACAATCCATGTGAAACATTTTGATACAAGTGCAACAAATATTATAATGCATGGTTTTGACATTTTAAAATATGTAATACAAAAAAAAGTTATCTTGTATCAAATTAAGTTGTGGTTCAGTCCTGCTTTATTTTGGTACAAGTGGTTTCCCCAAATTTGAAAGTGCTGCACAAACAATTAATATTTTATCTATTGTGCAAAGACTGTTATCATTTCTCCGTTTGACCATACTGACTGGCAGGGTGTTCCGCAGAATTCTGAATGACTTCAATTTTCCTATGGCCCTTTCCACATGGATTCTCACTCGTGACATTTTTCTAGAGTGTGTCACCTCTAATCCTGTCAATTGTTTTCTTCCCTTTGTAGATGCTGGTACATGAAGACGGACACATTTGTTGGCATTGTTGGCAAGAAAATTGAAGCCTCTATCAGCCATTACATGGTCTCCTTGTTCAAGAAGGTCAATCAACACAATCAACACTGTTATAACTTTGTCGCTAGCACGACCACCCCAGACTTTTGATAAAAATGTAATAGCTCCTGTTGGACTAATACCAACAAGGAACTTCACAGTATTATGTGATTTGTAGTGGGAGTATGTGATTGCTCGTGCTTGCAAACTAGTTGGCCTCTCAGTGAACACTTCAGTACAGTCTATTGGCGCTTTTCCACTGCATGGTACGGCTCGGTACGGTTCACTTTTTGTGGGTTTTCCACTGGGTACAGTACCTGGTACTTTTTTTTAGTACCACCTCGGTTGGGGTTCCAAGT